CCTCGTTAATATTAATGTGTTTGACTTAAAACAGAGCCATTATAATTAATTTACAGCCGTCTAATTGATGCCCACAAGTGGTCACACAGTGTTGATGTAATAAATTATAAACGTAAATTAAACATTCATGCAGCTAATTACAGGGATGTACTGTATGTACAGTGTGCAGTGTGTCTCACTGTAATGCACCGCAGTTGAGACGGAGAGAATAAGACCGGCTGATACGAGCCAGGGAACTCGCTTTCTGCCAAATTGGCTTCTTTCCGAACTCTCCATCAGCTAACTGCAGGTTTCAAAAAGGAAAAATAATTACTAGGCAGCAGTTGCACATTTGTCCTTCCTCCTTTCGTCAAGTGTCAGACAAACAGCAGTTGATGTAAAGACTCTCTGATGATGCACGCTGTAATTGTTTCAGTGTCATTGTTACATAATGTTTTAATTCTTCAGAGGAAGTAAAATCTTCTCTCCAGCATTGGCCGGCTGCAGTGGGGGCGCTTGGGGCGGCTCGGGGCCACGGCTCTAAGTACTACAACACAGTTACAACCATTATTAACATCTTACTTCTGTACACTTTAACAGTGTTTTTTTATTATCTTGCAGCTAACAAACAACAAACGAAGGCCTAAACTATTTGCACCTTCATTATAATTATTATGCACCAAATGAAACATTGAAAATTGTGTTTTTATTTTAATTGTATATGAAGCAATTAGAAAAAAAATATCGTAGGCCACATTATATTTATTCTTATAATATCTCACAATATTGAGAACATTTCTCATTATAATGTCAATATTTCCTCATTGAGACTTACATAAGCCTATTTTCCTGTCACACTGGTGGAAATGTGCGTTCACACATTGAATGAGGAGATGAACAGTGTAATGCTCTACCAGCTAAGCTCACTTTCACACACAAACTTCCTTCTTACTTGTGAGAGAAAATACAGATTTTCAATATATTCAATTACTTTGTGTTTCACAGACGAAAATTAAATAAATAAAAGAGGAGCACCAGAGATGTCAGTCTCACTGAGCGTAATATCTTTTAAGACGGCATGAACTGTCGTATAATGAAAGTTTGGAAGATGGACTGCAGAGCCTGAGGCCTGTAGCGCAGCACTGATAGAGCATGCTGAGCTACCACCGTTGGACCCTGTGGGCTCTGCACTGGAGTTATAGAAGCAATACTGAGTAACCCTGTAGGTTCGTGATCAATCAGTGAGAGTGGAGGAAGTGATCAGTAGCTGACGGGGCGGTTTCTCTGTTGCTGTGTCTCTGGATAATCAGCCGGGGGGTCCCAGGGTAATAATGAAGGTGAAAGGTAAACAGACTGTACATATAGCTCCTTTCTTTCGAACCACCGACACAGCCGTCCTGAAGGACCTGATGGTTTTCATTGGAAACTGTTAAACCATCTGTCTATCAAGTGTCCTCAACCAATCAGACCAATTAACCATAAAACGATTAAAGTCAGTCGGGAGAAGAAAGAAAATATCTTTTCCATCAAGACAAGTCTTCAGTGTCGTTCTGTGATTGATCTGATGGGTCCAGACCTCTGAGGTTGGTCTCAGATGCTTAAAGCCTGAAAAGATGAATTCTCACATGATCAAGGTTAGTGTGCCTGTTTGCACTTATTTTATTTTGGGAGCTGATCCATCAAAGCTGCTCCGAAGGCTCCAGTCTTCATTTGTGACAATTATCGTCTGATCGTTTGTTTTCTTAAAGCTGCAGCAGAGACTCTGTGAAATAAACTGAATTGGGGGCCTGAAGGTGCCGGTTAACCTTCTCAGACTTGGTTATCGGATGGTCAAACACCTTCAGAAACCTACAAGAGGTCAATGAAAATGTCTTTATTCCCAGAATCTGTGACAGGAAGAGAGAAACTAACAAGGGTTGTTCTAAGTGACAAAAAGGAACGAAGGCAGAGAGACAAAAAGAGCAAGAGAGAGAGACTCGCTTTAGGCAAATCAAGATACAATCGGAAGAACTGAGACGAAGGGTGGAGGCGAGAGTGGCAGCTCTTTCCCAGAGTGCCGCGCTGCGAGCTCAGTCCGCAAAGTCTCCTGGGAGTGAGCAGAGAGAGAGAGAGGGATGAAACAGGACAGGACCGTCCAACCATCTCATCAAACACTGACACACGAACCGCTCAGAGGGGCCGAGGGGAGAAGTCTTTACACGGTGTCTGTGACCTGCGAGAGCCTCGAGTTCGAGCCTTGACGTCTCTATCTCAATTTACTTTTTAAAAATGTCAACTTCTTCGGCAAAAAGTTTGACAGGACAACGAGTTATGCAGAGAACAACGTCAGCTGTCCATAAAATATTAGGACAGTTCTCACTGAGCCAGTGTCGAGCAGGTTGGAGCACTAGTGATAACTTTTTTAATACAGATATTAAAGGTTTACTGTTGTTAACAGCGCCACCAGTGGCCGTTCAGTGAACTGCAGTCAGCGTCCTTATGTCAGCATCATATTTAAAATAACGTTACTATCTGCAGTGTTTTGGAAACCAACTAATGCACTCTGATAGGATTTTGATAGTGGATGCAGCCACGTTAGCAAACAAGCTAACGTCTGTTACCTGTATTGTGACACAATCATTCTCAGGTGGGAAGACGGAGGAGGAGGACTGTGGTCACAGTGAACGACGGAACTTAACAGACTCTACAACAACCTGAAATCAATCTGTCACATATTGGCAGGTGGAGCCACCGGCATCATGTGTTATCTGCCTGTAGTCCAACAGTACAGACCGCAGTCCACAGGGGAACTGAGGTTCTTCATTAATAAAACACCTTAAAAGGTTTTGTTCCTGTTCTTCTGTACGCCCATATAAGGACTGCTCCTCAAAGAGGCATTGACCTTGTCGTGAACCTCCTCAAGACTTGCGTCACCATTAATCAAATATGCTAATGAACTTGAACAAACAAATCAATTTTAGTTTGAATAGATTGATTGTTAATGTGAGCCTGTTTACCTCCAGCTCTGCTGCTTTGTATCAGTCTGGCTCAGCTCAGCAAAATAACAATAAATCCAACATTAAACGGTGAAATCAACAGCAAAAGTATAAAACTATGGAAATAATAAATGCTTATGTGCTCTGGAAGTTGTGGTCCATTTCCTTGTATTCATGTTAGCCACTTTGGTCCGGACTGAAATATCTCAAAGACCATCAGATGGATTGTTATGAAAAATTTTATAGACTTTATTATTAATTATTAATATTAATCTTGATCCTTTTCTTCTAGCACCATCATCAGGTCAACAGTGTGTCCAATACCACCTGTAGAACTACTGACATTCCCATCAGCCTTTAAACACTGATGAAAGTCACATAGATATTACTTTAAAGCAGTGGTTCTCAAACTATTTCAGTCACTTCCCCACTTTGGACAAGGGAGAATTTTAAAGCCCCACCTGCCCCCATTGCCCCAACACAATGCTGATGAAATATGCAACAAGCTTAAAATGTTCCAATTTATTGAAGTAACAAGTAGTATCAGTATAGTAACAAGTTGTATCTAAATACAAATTAACTATCTACATCAAATAACAGCAAGTTCAAAAATAAAGAAAATAAAAGTGCAGCTGTGTCAAAATTTGTATCAAATTCAAAAATAGAAAATAAATAAAAGTGCCACTTTGCAATCTGTTAAAAAAAGAGTTTCTCTACAATTATTATGCCAACGTCACGTCAATCATTATTTTGGCACTTCGGTTCCAGGTTACATTTTTCTCGGGGTCTCATATCTAATGTTCTTTTAATTTAGACTGCATGTAGGCTAGTAATGATTACTTTGTTTGTGGGTGTTTTGTGTTGAATGTATGATCTTTGTTGTCATTAAAGAAAGGCATTGATAAAGCAGACATCCCAATCTGCAAAAATTCATTTCAGGGAGGTTCGTTCTGTGGGGGTGGGGTGGGGGTGGGGTGGGGAATTCCTGTTACTCTTGGTGTCGCCCCTGAGGGTGATCGGTCTAATAAGCGGCAACATACAGCTATAAGGACGGTGTGCTCTCACACGCGTTGCATTTATAGTCACACAAACACACATGCGCAGTCACTCTCTAGTCTAGTGCGCGGTCTTGCTCCAGATTCCGGGAGATTGGATCTCATTTGTGCGCATCAAGGAGCCGCTATCAATATGCAGGAGACTCCCGGAACTTCCAGGACAGTTGTGTTGTCTGGATAAAGATATAAAGGGATAAAAAGGAACATTTCCTCCCGTTTGATGCGCCCCACCTGTCACGTCTCTATTCCCCACCAGTGGGGCGCGCCCCACACTTTGAGAACCGCAGCTTTAACGTAATGAGCCCCATGCGTTTGCATGCTACCGGCAGCTACATTAGCAGTTAGCTGACAATGATCTAGTTTCACCCAAATCACTGACTACTGCACAAAAACACAACTTTATCAGTGAGCTCCAGTAGCTAGCCATGCTGTTAGCTAGCTAGCTAACTAATGAATCTTTGCTCTGTGTGGCTAAAAGTTGAAGATTAATTGACGAGTGAATGTCATGAAATTATTGGTTGAAATCAGTTAGCTCATGTTGACGTAAGCACGCATTTAGTTTCATTTAGTTTTACAGAAAGACAATGATTGGATTTTATATAAAAACAGAAATAAATGGATTTGTTGTCATACATATATAACAATAATATATAACAATATAACTGTGAATGTGATCTTAAAGGGTTAAAAAGAAATGTTTCATTCCACCTGAACTTTAAAGATGGTTATTTACAAGCTAACACAGATACGGCCGCACAATTACCTCAACTTTTTATTCGAATAGAAAATATTTGGATGTGCTTTTCAAACTGGATCTGCATCAAAAAAGAGGAACGGCTGGACAGAGAAGATAGAAGTGAAAATTAGTCAAATGATGAGATGCTGCAGATTTCTCCTTCTGGTGCCAAAGGGGAAGTCGATTGGCTGTTAAAGAACAAGGAGAAGATAGAAAAACAATAAAATGAGACTCACAGAGATCAAACTAGAAAAAGAGATCACATCTCTCCTGTACTAGCTTCTCTGCATTGGCTCCCTGTAAAATGTAGAATAGAATTTAAAATCCTCCTCCTCACCTATAAAGCTCTTCATGGTCAGGCCCCTTCATATCTTAAAGAGCTCATAGTACCCTATTACCCCACTAGAACACTACGTTCTCTGAATGCTGGGCTACTTGTGGTTCCTATAGTCTCTAAAAGTAGAACAGGAGCCAGAGCCTTCAGTTACCAAGCTCCTCTCCTGTGGAACCAGCTTCCAGTTGTGGTTCGGGAGGCAGACACCCTCACCACATTCAAGAGTAGGCTTAAGACATTCCTCTTTGATAAAGCTTATAGTTAGGGCTGGATCAGGTGAGTCCTGAACCATCCCTTAGTTATGCTGCTATAGGCCTAGACTATCGGGGGATTTCCCATGGTGCACTGAGCTCCTCCCTTCCTCTCTCTTTCTGCACTCATTCATGTTCCATTAATGCATGTTACTAACTTCACTTCTTCCCCGGAGTTCTTGTGCTTTCTCGTCTCGCAGGTTCTTGTCGATCCTGGTGGAGCCTCCTGCCATGGTCCTGCTAGATTGCCATTGCTAATACTGTTGTTGCTGTGCACCTGTCTGTCTGTCTGTCTGTCTCTCGCTCTCTCTCTCTCTCTCTCACCCCAACTGGTCGAGACAGACAACCACCCACCTAGAGCCGGAGGATCTGTCCTAGGTTTCTGCCTTTTAACAGGCAGTGTTTCCTTGCCCTTGTCTCCAAGGTCTTGCTCATGGTGGTACTGTTGGGTCTCTGTAATTAATGTTTTAGAGAATTCGGTCTAGACCTGCTCTATTTGAAAAGTGTCCTGAGATAACTTCTGTTATGAATTGGCGCTATACAAATAAAATTGAATTGAATTGAATTGAATTGAAAAGTTGGTGCAAGAACAGGAAAATAACAAGAAATCTTCAGGGCTTAATTATTGTCTTCTTCAAACATTATTTTCTCCCTCACATTATTCTATCCATCAGTACACAGCAAAAACAACCAGAGAGCTGCTCCACCTCGCCTCTTTCAGTGTAAAACTTTCACTGTACGTAGCAAAAAGCTCAAATAAATTCTGCCAAAAGGGGGTCTCTCACATCCAAACAATAAGAAAAGAGGACATATGCACAAAGGGGATATGACACCATTGACAGGCGACCGGTGAAACGCAGCATTACCTGGATAAAATGATTTCGCTGAGTTTGAACCATCCACATATATAAAGATGGACGACATGACACCTGACTGCAGTATAGACTCTATCTCCCCTGGTGGCTGACTGCAGTATTGCTCATAAAGCCTGTTGCCTCCATGTTAATAAATGGGACAAACTCAAAAATCATTTTAGGTCGTTCTTATCACACTGATGTTTGTCCAAGTGGTCATTTTATCATCAGTTTGGTTTTAATTAGTTATTTGAAGATATAAAAAGCGGGTTTCACGTCATGATTGACAGCTGAGTCCTGCCCGCCATTGAGTGGGTCAGGCGTATGGGCAGGACCTCCATACAACGGCACCGATCCTGATCACTACTGCACAGACTCTGGCTTCGAATGACGTCACCACCGTAAGTTGGCAGCAACCGTATCCGGATATTTTAGCTTCATTTGGCATCTTTTATCTTTATGTCTATGGTTTGAACATTGTTGAAAACATTTGGGATAATGTAAGTACACAACTGAACTACTGATACTTCCACATTAAAATGTCTATTAAGTATTACATATAAAATATTACATATTATAGCTTTTACAGTTGAAAACCAAACTCAAATTAGTGTTAAATATCACTGTCCCATAAGTCCAGTTAAACATCTGTCGGATTACATGAGCTTGTTTGTCGGTATTTTGTTGTGTACTTCCTCTGTATGCTCGGATGCCTCTTATTGGACTTGGTGTCTCACAGACTGTTTGTCTTCATGTCGCCGTCTGTTACTATCTGATTATCATTTGTTTTCCTCTTTTAATGCCATCTTCTCTCTCTCTGTGGGACCGCCTCGGAGCATCTTTTGTTTGAATAGTTCTGTGTACGTCTGATTGTCGTCTGGTCCATCGTACTCTGGTCACACTCTGTGATTCCCTCTTCGTCATCCTCCTCATGCCTGCTGTTGTACGTTGAGGACGGTAGAAGAGCGTTCGTGCTGCGCTGGCAGTCTTGTCTGTTTGATATTAAATTTAAATGTGGAAGCCAACAAAACATCAATTCAATTCAATTCAATTCAATTTTATTTGTATAGCGCTAATTCATAACAGAAGTTATCTCAGGACACTTTTCAAATAGAGCAGGTCTAGACCGAACTCTTTAACAATACGAATATTGACCACAGTCAGTGAAGTTGGACCCAGAGACCGTTTGTCTCTTCCTGTTTGTGTGTTTTCTCGCCGTCCAATAAAGGATGAATTCACAGGCTTACTTTTAACTAGGGTATATCACCATGGTAACCTTTGCTGTACCTGGGGCGCCCACCCCGTAGAACTGGTGCCCCATGTGAAGCTGAGTGCTTGCTGCTGCGGCCATGGGTTCAAACCTGTGGGGTGTAGGGTTGTCTCTTTATATTCGCCATTCGAACATGGTTAATATTTATGTGTAATGACCGGTTTGAAGTAGTTTCCCCTGTGATCTGTGGATATGGTTACTGTTCTACGTAGTTAAAAGGTTTTAGTTGTGTTTCGGGGCATTTCCACAGGAGGGGCTTGAACTCTGACTGGCCACCATGTTATCCTTACTTCTTCCACTTTAAAGCTAGAGTGAAGATACTGCTATCATATGAAACTAGATGACCTAATGTATCCATGGGTAACAACCATGTCATGTTAAAATGCTGGGAAGGGGACTAAATAGCACTCTGAAGTTAGCAAAATCTTAGCAATGGAAAAGCTTGCATGACCGTTTTCAAAGTGATTCCTTGACCAATGACCTCAAGATACCTGAAAGAAAATAGGTTGTATGGGTACCCACGAGTCTCCCCTTCTGAGACATGGCAACTTTAAGCTAATCCCATGCAAAAACATTATTTTACATGTGGTATAAATGTGTTATTTTCGCCCTGTTTTGAATATTTGTGCATACTGTAGTCCATAAACAGTGTTGGGATTAGAAGTTTTATTCCTCCTTCATGAAGTGTCTCAGGTTCTTACAGAGTCCATATTGTATCAGTTTGTTAATGATGGTATTTGTTTTCAGTTGCGTGTGTTACATTACAAATACATTAGTACACTAGTGGAAATAGTCGAATAAATACACATTTTACAGCTGAATGTCACTTTTTTTGCTGCTACGACTAAATTTAGGTATCATTCATATCATCTCAGGTCATGTAAGTTATTAAGGGTTTTAAAGATTGAAAACTGAATGTGCTCATATCTGGATCTGGAAACTGACGTCAGAGTCTGGCTGTTGCTGGTCCTCACTCAGCCTGTGAGTCTAACTGAGCCCTGAAATCCAAAACACAACACCTGAGCTCCTACAAAAGCAAACACAGAGAAATCCTGGCTCCAGTTTAAAACCCATTCTTCATTTTGTCTGTTTTCTGGCGCAGAGGTCCCCAAACAAAAGCCTTCGACACATGTGGCTGCCAGAGACACTGAATATACGAACCATCCGTCTGTTTGTGTGACGTCTTTTAAATCAAATCAGCTGCTTCCTGCCAAGAAATAAGTTCCGCTTTACAACGCACTAAATTCTCGAACGAGGCTTTAAAATATGGCAACCTCTGAAAACAAATTCAAGCAAAAGCTGTTGTTTGATTTGGTGTTGAGCTGCTATTTTTGTTGATTTCATTTGAATGTGTTTCGCTTTAATAAACACGTGAAAGTTTCATGAGGTGGCGGTGCCGGTGGAGAGGCTGGTTTGTGATGATAAGTGCTGTGGGTTCAAACTGATGGGCCAAGCAGGAAAGTCTGACAGAGAGAAGTAGTTGATTAATGTCCTCATCTCTGAAGATTACCTGTGAGGATGCCCTTGAGCAAGGCACTTTGTCATTGACTGTAGAGGCTGTTCTGTAGTGAAGGAGGGCTGTGCTTTTCACCGGACGCCTCCCCGCTGTGGGAGCAACACTTTATTTCTGAAAACACGAGGGAGGGATTTCATCTTCTCTTATCCTGTTTCTTTAACGGACCAACAGCTTGAATTAGAGCCTGAACAGCTGCAAACAGCTGGAAAATGTAACGTATTATATGGGATGTGTGGCTCAACAGCCCTAAACTGCAGCCCCAGCATCACGTTTCACAGATATACAAGGAAACTGGCGAACAGGTATAGCAAGTCCAGACGTACAAGAAAGGACCCATGCCCCAAACCCAACAGGAAGTCAGCCATTTTGTGGTCATTTTTGGAGATTTGCATTCGTTGTACTTTAATAAACTCCTCTGTGGGAATTGTTCAGATATAGTATAGCGCCCCCTACTGGAAATGTCACGTTTCATACTTTTATGTACAACTCCCAGTAGATTGACCCAATCCAACTGAAAATTGATAAGAAGACCCTAAAGACACGTCACAAGTGTCAAAAAAGATTGTATTTGTTGGTCATTTGACAATTTTTTCAGGCATTTTACTTTACAGAATTAATCTGATCGACTTCAATTAAAGGTCAGCGGCATCTAAAAGCCATCATGATGAAAATGCTAATTGTGAGTTTTCATTGTCCATGGCATGTTGTCAACTTTCAATATACCGCAATGAAACAGGAAACTTTGTGTACTTTGTCCAATCAGCCCCAATGATTGAAACTTCATTTATCATGAATATTTGGCTTCACCCAAATTTCACATTAATAACTGTAGCCACTAAAATTATACTTTTCTTCAAAACTTGAGCGTTTACACTTTGAAAATGCTGAAATCTAAAAGAAACTTGTGTGTTTTGCTAACTGAAGCCTCTCTATCAGCACCATATGTGTTTTGGCCGCCTGGCTTTGATGTCACTCTGTGGCACATCATTATCTAACACAATAATTACCATGTGAGCAGATTTGCCCGCAGACTTTGTCTCGCTATAGCTGATGCACTACATAACATAATGACACCGAGCAGCTAATAAGAGCGTCTTTGAAGTCTGCTGAGGTCTAATTTGTTCCTATCAGGCGGTTGTTGGAGCTGGGCGGCTGTCAAAGAGGACTCCCTCTGCCCCGAGTTTGACACAAGATGTCTTGTATTTATCACATGTGCAGCCGGTAATCATCGTTTCTATTCTCCTCTGTTTGCAGTCTCATCTTTAGGCTTTCAGTTTCCCCCCATATTTCTGTGCTGCTTCCCCTCAAATCCTCAGGCTTTATTGTCGTGATGGCAGATGGTGAGACTTCGCACCGGCAAAGAGGCATCTTTGATGAGCACGCAGGGTTTTCTCGCCTGTTTGGTAACTCGGTGAACTTGAGTGTGTCTGAGTGGGAGGAGAGGAACAGCGGGGGGTCATTAATGAGCGAGCAGCATGGAGCAATTTGGGATGTTTCTGTTCATAAGTATACAATGGAAAGAGCTACCTGTTCATGAGTTCTCATCTGTTTTTTGCCATTTTACTAAACCAGATGGTAAATGTCTCTCCTCCTAGAGCCAAAATCTCTCTGGAGAGAGCAACTTTATTTAACCATTTTCTACAATGACGATGTGCAGCAACACAATAACCAGATGATTCATAAACCTAACAAACAGACCTAAAATTAAAGCTGAAATCCTCAAAGACAAAAAGGGTGGGAACTACCGCCCACCAGCCTCCACTGACAAAACCAGTTATTTTACC